CGCGGCGCGGCCGTCCCGGCGGTCTGGGGGCCGGGGTCCCTCTAGGGCCTTACCCCGGCGTGCTGGGAGGACACGGAACCGTGCAGGTCGAAAGCAAGGGAGACGTTTAAAACAGGGTCGCCTCGTGGAACAGGTCTCGAGTGGGACGCGGGATCACGGATCATCCATTTAGTGTAGCCGGGTACCCAGTGGGGCGCCGCCGCCTCCCGGGCGGACGCTGGAGGGGCAGGGCCGAGCCGCGCCCCGGCCCGTGGGTGGGCGCGTCGGAGAGGCTGGCGTGGGACCGGGCCTGTCCTGCCGGTTCGGGGACGCCGCAAGCGTGGGGCGGGCCCCGGAGGCCGCCGGGAAGGATCCTGCGAGCCCGCGAGAGGGCGTCACGGGGTGGGCGGTGTTTCCCCCAAGGGGCGTGCTGGTCTTGCGAGTGGGCCGGAGACTCCTGGTGTGGAGCGGAGGAGGGACGGGGTCGGAACCGCCTGGAAGGATCGCTGCTAGGAGCAGATTGAGGCCGGGCTGGATGGCTCAGCCTGCCATCCCGGCACTCTGGGAGGCCGAGGCGAGTGGATTGCCGTAGCCCGCGGGTTCGAGACCCGCCCGGGCAACTTGGGAGGCCTCGTCTCAACAATACATCAAAAATTAGCTGGGCGTGGTAGGCGCGTCTGTACTTCCAGCTACTTGGAAAGCTGAGATAGAAGGGTCGCTGGAGCCCAGCAGATCGAGGCTGCGGTGACCGGGAGCGTGCCTCTGTACCCCAGCCTGGGCGACGGAGTGAGACTCCACCTCAAAAAAAATAGTAGATTTGGAGAAAGGGGCAGGAAGGCCGGAAGTTGCAAGTCAGGTGGCTTCCTGCAACGCTTCAGGTAACAGGCAGTGGTACTTAGATGACTGCGTCAGAATTTAAGGTTCATGCATACCAAGCAAAAAGTGGAAAGACTAATTGGGGAAAAACGTCCTCCCCTAGCCATATCCCTCTGACAAAAACGATTAAATTCCTTTATACACAGATGTCCTGCAAATGAAAACGATTAGCAAAGTTATAGATAAGCGGGCAAAGAATATTAACACACAGTTCAGAGCAGGGGAAATACGAATATTCCTAAACAGGTGAAAAGACTCTCAGCCCCAGCCAGAACAAGAGCCATACAAAGTTAGGCTGGAGTGCCGTTTGCAAGATTAGCAAAGGTAAAAACTACTCTCTGGAGTAAGATCATATCTTTCAGAGTCTCCATTCTTTCCTCCGCAAATGTCCAGCATTCGATATAATTTTTTTTTTTTTTTTAGTTGGAGTCTCACTCTGTCGCCCAGACTGGAGTGCAG